TGTGCAGAAGACAGCAGAATCATGTGAGCTTGTGCTATGGTAACATCTCTTTAAAAAGAGAGCCTAAAATAAGAGTCAAGGAAAAGCAAAATCAGGAAGATGTCAGTGTGAGGAGTTCTTTAACACTTGTCTTTAATGTTCAGGAATTTCGGCTCTTTCTGAGCTCCTTATGTTTTCTTTCTAAAATGCTGTGTTTACCAAGATGTTAAAATTCCCGAGTGCTTTGTTCTGTCTTGTTGGCTAATATCTGGGAGTACTGATAATAGTTTAACTATTCCACATGTGAATGTGTGGCCTGTGGCTGTGGAGTGCATGTGCACGCTCACGTGTATGCACACGCACACACACACTCGCACACATGCACACACACACACACACACACCCCTAGGTATCATGTCAGAAGACTGTTGACTCTGAGAAGACTGTCTGATAACTTAGTCTGATATGTGACTCTGCTTTTCTTTATAAGCTTATAACTTTGGACTGACTTTGTGGAATAAACTAGAATTTGTTGCTTCTCACCTTGTGTGCTGGCTTCTGAGGGGAAGTCATTAGCATACATCAGTGTGTGAATGATTGCCTTGAAGACTTCAGTAGAGTCTTTACTGCTTCTTGGAGTGGAAAGTTATAGCTATTTCCTAGTGCGATACCTACATACTGGAGGAAATTAGCTGTTTCCTGTGCTATACCTGTATACTGGAGGAATAATACATGGCCTTTTCAGCTGCACAGGTCTGTCTGGTGGGTAAACAGGAGAAAATATTTGAAAGTGCTCCGAATTCTTCTTTATAAATAACTTGTGTAGTGTTAGTTCCATATTGGGGGTGGTCCACTGCTGGTCAGGAAGGTCACCTACTTTGCCCGTAGTTTAATTTTGTGAGACTAATTCTATATCCTTTTGAGTTTTTCTTTTATATTTTATTGTTTTAGTGTGTAGTAATTGTATAGATTAATGGATTTCATTAAAACTTTAACACATAGGCAGATCGCACACACACACACA